GTTTGTACGCTGGAATTCAACATGCACAACGACGCTCAGATGCCTACATGTGAATTTGTTTGTTAGCAGGCATTAGAAGGCCACGTCAAACAGTACTTCGCCTAGCTGTCATGGATACAATTGCTCTGTTGCGAGCCTTGGCAAGTCGACAGTGTGCCCGCGGCCTCGTTCTACTTGGCAACCCTGACAAAGCAAATTGCTCTCAAGGAACTATATGATTGGCCATGCGCCCGGACATTCTTGGTGCCCGCCATTTGTTCTCCGCCTGGTGTGCGTGGCGTGAAAGAACCTGCCAAGGTTCAACGAGAAGGTTCTAACCTTGCCAGAGGCACTTCCTGAATGCCAACCTCCAAGCTCGGCACTCCCGAGGCAGTGGTCTCTTTGAAGATACTCGGGTCAAGTCTGTTGATGTTGGGAATGCTTCCTTCCTTGAGGCAACATGAATTTGCGCGGCTGGAGATGACCCATATCGTTGTGTCGAAGCTTGACAGATCTTGGCAGACATTTGCATCCGCGTTGATTCAAGGGGTCTCCTTCAATGTTCGAGAGCCACACACCCTGAAGTTTTGCATTTCCTAGATGTCCTACAGCTGACTGCAGATCTTTCCGATAGCTGAGCCTCTTTGCAGGAAGCGGAAGCTGAAGTTTCTTGGCCGCACTTCGACCCAGCCGGCTCCGTGCACTTGTGGGACAGCGGCCCCGTAAATCTGCCCATGAGCCTTGTTCGCCTTCTTCCGGCGCAGCTCAGGCGCCTGGTGGAGGCTTCTGCCAGGGGAGAGGGTGCAAGTTCTGGATCCTCTGGACTTGAAGAAAGGCTCAGAGGTGATTGACGAGTGTGCGCATTTTTGTGTTAACTCTCTTTGTGATTTTGAGTATGCATTCTAGTGATTTTCATGCTAGCTCCTTCACATGACTGACAATTCAGGGATGCGCTCCAAAGCGATAGCCAGATTTGGTAACTTAGTAGGGCATCATGCTCGGTCACTTGGTCAGGGTGGCTATGTGGACGGTTGGGATGACCCGCGCATGCCAACCATTTCTGGCATGCGGTGAGCCACTCAGCTAGGGCCCGGAGCTTGAGAGTCACTCATCACATATTGTTCTGTAAAGAGCGTCGAACATGTGCTAATAGCAGCGGCAGCCATGATGGCAGAGATACTAGTGTGCCCAACTTGGTACTGCAAGTAATGTGGAGCGAATCTTCCTACAGCTGAACTGGTACCAATGCCACAGCTAGCAACGCACGGTGACTTCAGCCCGGAGGACACACACACTCACACACGCAGACACTCACACACTCGCACACTCGCACACTCACACACTCAAACACTCACACACGCACACCAAAGCCACGCTTGATTGTACTCGGCCGTCGCTGGTGACTGGTGAGTGTGTTCCATTCTGGGCAGTCTGTGTCCTTGCACCACTCTCCACACCCAAACAAAAAACCCCCCGAGAAATCTTGAGCAACTTCGTCGGCTTGACACAGAGGCGACGAGGGTACCCACCCGCTGCTCTGCGGAAACTCTGCGAGCTCATTGGCGTGACCAAGGCTTTCAGTGAGTTGAGGGTTTGGGCATTTGGGCGCTCGGTTAGGGCTTGAACTGAAAGTTTGAACATGACAAAGAGAAGAATCGCGCCCCAGCAAGCGTTAAAGTCGGATGTGCTTTCAAAGGCAATCAAGGACCAGTTGTTCAGGTTTTGGGGGGGTTTGGGGAAACCCTAATACCTAAACCCTAGGTTCAGAGCCGGCTCGGAATCTGGGAGATGCCTTGACAGCAGATAGTACGACATGGACACTCTGCCGAGCACGGCAGCAGTGTACTGCATGGACTCCAGATGGTTTCGATCTAACTCCTTCGTATTATCTGCTGGCCTGCATGCTGCAAGCCCTTTGTACTACCATATTGTACATTGCCTGTCGTTGCTTCTGCTGCTTCTGCTGCTGCATCTTCTTCTGCTTGTTCTGCTCCTTCTGCTCCTTCTGCTTGTTGTAGGAAGGGCTGTGAGCTGAAGATGTTTACGCATGGCTTGGAGTGTGGCAGGTCCCTACAAGCGTCATAGAGTACACGCTCCTCGAGAACTGTGTCCGAGACGCACTCCAGGTGACGGTGAAGGGCTGGCCTTCGTTCAGAGTTGGACCCCTGCGAAGCCCTGCAAAACCCTCCTGGTGTTGCCTTGACCTCAGGTCGTGGGAGTGTGATGCACACTCTTGAAAATTCTTGTGGGAAGTACAAGCATCGTACAGCCAGAGACATGTTGACAGCGGGTGCATTGGGCCCTCGACACGGAGAATGAGATTGTTTCATTGTTTGCCTTCGAACTCAGAGCAGGAACGATCCTTGCGTTCAGGAACCACCATGAAGCCTCGACGAACCACAAGATGAAGATTCAAATTCCACCCCAAGGCTGAGACCTTGCTTTGCCAGGAGCAGGTGTCCGCGAAGCTGCTATGTGTGCTGCGCCCACTTCCTGCCGATGGCCAAGCCCTGGTTTTGGGCGCCTGTCGAGGTTTTGCTCGACATCGCCATCGGTTTGTTGAAGGAAGTTCACCATTTCTTGCGAAGTCAAGCAAATGTGCCGAAACCCCACCTGCCGGAGCATCATGATCGTACATGCTGCGTGTTGACCGCCTCGGCCCGGTGCGCAAATCTAGAAAGCCCTTTGGCTATGGGGTGATGACAAGGGGGGCTTTGAGCTTCGGCAATGAGTAAATAAACCTGTAGTGCAAAGTTCGGGTTCTTGGATCCGTGGCTTGCGTTCGGTGGCTCAGGGATCCCCAGCCGGGGGCCCAAGAACCCTTAAAACCAAAGGAGCCACCGGAGGTACCGCAGGTGGGATTGCATCGTCAAGCCCTCCCTGAAACCTTTCTGGAATTCCGAGGATCTACAAAGGGCCTAAGGGGTCCAAACGAGGTCCATAGGGACAAGGGTCCTAGAAGGTTTTTGAGGGACTCAGGTGAACTTTCAACAGTGGACATTGAGAACTCACTTCCATTGAAAGTAACATTCTCCAAGATTAGTGAAAAGGGGGACTCCAGAGAAACGATTGAAGGAGGGAAGCAAGGGGTTTTCTGTGGGAACCTAGGTCACCATCACGAATTGGCCGGATGGGCAGGAGGCGCCGCCTCTGAGCAAGTGGCAAAGTCAGAGCTGCATTGGTACTTTCGCCATTGTCCGTCTTCGGCTCGCGTGGACTTTGCACCTTTGGCTGTGAATTCAGGACGAGCTGATCGAGGTGTGGACCTCGGCAGGTGGGTGCTCATGTGGTCACGCGAAGGCTCGAAGGTGGTGGAGCCAGCCTCTTCCAACCTCTCCCCAGTTCAAGGTGCCCGGTGACTCGGATGGGCAGCTGCGACGGATGTACTTCGGTAAGGACTCTTGCCTGCGATGGCTGAAGAAACGGGAGTTCCATCGTTGCCCAGACCGACATGGAATCGGATGAAGGAAGCATCCCGGTACCCTGAGCGCCAAACCAATCGCCCTAAACTGTTCTTCATTTGTGCCTCTGTGACCTGAGGATCTGTTATTGGATATGGAGGACGCCTGGTTGGACAGTTGTCGGGTTCCGATCGTGGGGCTCCTGCTGTTGCCAACACTGTTGAACTCGCAGTGCCTAAAATCCCTTTTCGCACGAAGCCCGAAACCCCAAAGCATTCCAAAGACATGTGCCCTGAACTATCGAAATCCCGAATTAGCAAGGCTTTACCCTACCGACTGAGCTTTGGAAAAAGGCTCCAGCCCTCCAAAGCCATTGCAGCAGGACTTTCAGGAAGAGCCGGAGCCAGGCTTCAAGCGTTTGGCGCCAGGCAGACAGGTGCCTTGCCTGGGACTGTCGACATGCAGCACTCGAGGTTTTGAGGCTTGTGCTTTACTGAGATGTTCCACGGTTACAAACTTTGCACGTGTCCAGAGAGACCGGAAACCTCTGCAGCACCGGTCGCTGTGGCAGGTAAAGCTTCGATACGGATATGTCATCAAATGTGACGAGGCCTTGAGTGATGCAGCAGTGAGGTTAGGAGTTGTTTGGGGGGGGGGGGGGGGCTTTTTCAGGGCATGGAGTCCAGATTCACGGGTAGCTACCAAGTAATGGAATGTGCACAACGTGCCATGTTGATCAACAGCCTCAGGGCTCAGAGCCTACGTAAGCCTCAACTCAACAAGATATTAGCAGGTATTGCAGGAAGTTAGTTTTCCACTCGAAGCCAAGATCCTAAGATGTCTGGGCACACCTGGCACACCTACAGCCCAAGCATTGGAATGAGTGAGTGCCAACTTCCAGAAATCCGAAACTCGACGTCCATGTCTAGCTGCTACAGGTGATCCACTCACCGGACGGTGGTATCCAGGAGCTTCGCTGCTCCTATGATCCCGACTCCCTGGGGAAGAGGCTTGGGGCGCTGCTGGAGTTAGATTGTTACGATCTTGGGGTTTATGCAATTTAGGCTTGAGATCTTCTGGTGCTAGTGTTGCACGAAAGCCAGTAGAGCCTTCAAGCCAAGGATGCCATACCAGGATCACTCTTGGCAAACCTGTGCCCAGGGCCCGCCCAAGACCTCAAAGTTGAACGACAAGTTGAGCAGTCGCTTTCCGCAGGCCCCCAAAGAAGGTGGCGGTGGTGCACTGGGCACATGCCACGAAGCGCGGGCCTTTGACGTTGCGCATCGTTGCGCGTCTTTGTGCAGCAGGGCCGCGCGATGGGAAGACTGGACGAGCCTGGCCAAGGTCCACGCCCGTGACTGTCAGGATGTACGACAAGCTGTTTAGCGAGCCGCGACCAGAGGACAGCTTTTGAAGTTGCACAGGTGACCCTCCGCAACGCATACCCTTCTTGACATTGAGCATGTTTGTGTGTTCGGCGGTCGAACTCAACTCAGGAGGCAGGTGACTTCCTGGATGCCCTGAATCCCAAGTCGTGTGAAGTGCTGGCATGTGCCGCACTCGGGTTATGCCGCGCTCGGGGTCTGGAGTCTGGACTGGAAGTCGTCCTTACCAAGACGTGGCGCAACAAAACGTGCCAGACCTTTGCAATGCGGCTTTGCTTGCTGTCGTAGCAGTCTTAGCAAGTAGCAGCAGAGGGAGTAGTTCGAGTTGTTGTCGTGGGAGTGGACGGACCGTGAGACTCCTGGATCCAGCCGCGAAACCCTTCCAATCTTTAGGCCCTAGTCCTGGCACTTTGGCCCTTTGTACGTGGCTACTTGGCAAGTTGTCTGACTCCCTGAGCTCATAGTGTAAGGGTTGAAGCGCTCTCCTCCGCTGACGTCAGGCTTGTCGTCTCAAGAGCAAGATTTCGCACAAGAAGGTAACGAGAATTCCCTGAAACCGGACCGGTATGCTCGACAACGAGAGCTTCAAGCATGTGACGACAACCCTTCTCGATCTCCCGAATGCTACTGTGTTGGGAACACGCGTGTTGGGAATGGCTGTGGTGCGTGTTAAGAATAGCCGGGGGGCGAGTCGGGAACAAGCCAGCTGCGTGTCGGGAACACACCCAGACACACGTGTTGGGAACACCTGCCTGCTCTGAGGTACAGCAAAGAGCTCGAGCAATTTCCAAAACCATGCCCTGGACTTGTAACCACCGGAAAATCATGATTCACCGACAATTCCTGTGTCATCGTCAATGTTAGTTAGGAAGCCTCCTGAACTTAAAACGCTGAATCCAACACCTTGACCCGAACCCTGAACTCAAACATTGAATCCAATACCCTGAAACGGAATCCTAAACTCCAAAACCCTAAACTCGGAACCATTGAACTACAAGCCCAAAACGCCGAACTCGAGACTTAACTTAAATTGCACCCCCTCGTTTCTTGTTTTTGTTTCTAGTGTTCATTGTTCGCAAAGTAGAGAAGTAGAGAAGTGGAGAATTAGTTTAAGTTCCACCCCCCCTCGATTCTAGTTCATAGTCTGCAGAACAACAAATCCTTCTCTGACGTACCCAAAACGCGGGGGTGTTGGGGGCCTCCCCCCTTTGCTTGTTGTTGCCAGCCCTCCAAGGACCTTTCTTGTTCGAAAAGAATCTAAATTCCATCCCCCTCGTTTCTTGTTTTTGTTTCTTGTGTTCATTATTCAAAAATCGAACAGGAGTAGAGCATTACTCTAAATTCCACCCCCCGTCGTTTCTTCGGTTTGTTTCTTGTGTTCATTATTCGAAAATCAGAGAGGAGTAGAGAATTACTGTATAAATTCCTTCTCCCTCGTTTCTTGTTGTTCATCATTCGATCATCAGAGAGGAGTAGAGAATTTGTTCATTGTTCGAGAATCAGAGAGGAGTAGAGAATTACTCCATAGACTCCACATCTTCCGAGGAGCCGAAAAACTGCTCGGCGTGTTGACGTCAAACTTCCCGAGTTTGTCTCTGGTTCTGAGAAGCAGCGTCGTCGGATTGTTTGAAGGGTTTCTTGTTTATCCAAAACAACAAACCCTTTAAACTCCCACCGCGGAAACTCAAAAGAAGACTGTATACCCAAGTCCAAGTCCTCTCAAGAGAACTTGAAAGAAGTATCAAGAGTAGGGTTGTCACTCCAAAACCTAGTTCTGGGTGGGAAACGTTCTCTACTCGACGGGGCGCTCAGCTGCGTTCTCGACTCACCCTCGGTGCGTTCCCGACACGTGGGCTGCGTTCTCGACTCACCCTCGGTGCATTCCCGACACACACCTCACCCGTTCCCGACACGCCTTGCCCCTGTTCCCAACCACCCTCGGCTTGCTCCCAACACGACTCAACCGTCATCCCAGACCCTTACCTGCACCTGGCCACGGCCGGAATCGTTCTTCTGGCATGAGGCTTGAGGTGTTAGGACCTTAGGGCTCAAGGATTTGGGCACTTCGTCTGAGCCTCTTTTGCTGCTGCTTCAAGCCTTATCACTACTCAGCGCTGGAAAACGAGAACGATTTCAGGCATGCGTTCGAAATCACCATGCTGTGTTTGCAAAATCTCCCCCCCCCCCCCACTTGTTTTAGCCGTGCAAGCTTGTGTGGAGGCACTTCATACCATGAAGAGAAGCCACACCTACGAAACCCAAAAGCGGCACACCTGGTAGGACATGGGATATTCGGCGGGGCACTTGGGCTTCTCTACTCTACTCAGCGGGATTCTCTGCAGTCTTGTCTGGGGTGGGCACTCCAAGGATATTCACCTAGGAAGTCAAAACACCTCCTCCTCTGGTCGTGGCCTTTAAGACCGACTAAACCCAAGTCCATGACAGAACGCCTTTTCCATTCCGAGCCCCCCTTTTCGGGGTCATGGACGACACACGAGCAAGTTAATCTGCCAGGTGCCCAGTGTGAACCGAGTGTTGCCGATATGCTGGAGAATCACAAGGCCGTTGTCTTGTGTCATGACAGCCGACAGTGAAACACGCAGTAGCATATGGCGACGAGATTCAATAGGCTAAAAAGTTGACCTCTGTCGGAGCGCTGCTTTTGCAAGGAGAGCGATGAAGATATCTTCCGGGCCCTGGACCTCAGCGACTTTGTGAAGTGTTCAGGTAGAGTGCAACCAGCGGCGACCTTTCTCCGATGCTCGTCAGGTTCAGTTCGAGCGGTGTGGATTCTTCGCGCTGGATACGGCGAAGGCAGAGGGCCAGTGTCAACTCACCCTCGGGTTTTGTCAAGCGGTGTGCGGTTGCTTTATTTTAAAGACCATGCTTGCCGACCATCACCGAACACTTTATCCATGATGAATGATGCGGTAATACTAGATCGAGGTCTTACAGGTTTTTGTGAGGTGGCGACCACAGAGATTCCTACGGATAATATTCAAGCCTGACAATCGACAAAGATGCTGTGTGTTGTCTGTATGAAGTGGGTAGAAGAAGTGAACGGACGCATGCGAAGCGAAATAAAGCCTGGACGAAGGGTCAAGGATCTGATGTCTCAATGTTGATCCTGTTTCTTGGTAGATCCTGTTTTCTGTGTCCAAGTGCCAAACCTATGTCTCCATCGATCCCAAGTGATGATATACGGACGAAAAAGATAGTTATCAGAAGCCAAGAAATCTTGAGTTTTTGTCTGGGCAGTTCCACAAAGCTTCGATCGGATCAGGCTTCTGCGGAGGGCCTCGTGTTCAACTGCACGGTGGGACAAAGGACAGCCGACGTCAACCCTTAGCGAAAAATGCCCAAACTTATAGTGTTGGCCGGAGGAGCGACTTCGGGAAGCCAAAGCAAGTTCGTGGAAAGGCCTCAAAGAAAAAGGCGTGGCTGCGAGGGGAGTTTCTCTAGCCTGCGAGCTACCCAGCATCCTTGTGCAGGCCACCTCGTAGTGCCCTTTGGCCTTCGAGACTTCTGAACCGGTCTCGCTCTCCGCGAGACGTGTTCCATCGATTTCACCTGCCAGCTTTTGCTGTCGATTTTCCATGCGTGCAGCCGTGTAGCTATCCGCATGCCAGAAGGAAAATTGTTGTGCCTTCACAAGAGACTTGACAGTGACTGCCTGTCAAGATGGGATTTCGATGCGGTTTCCAGAGCTCCATGTGAAAACAACAATGGCTGGCCCGTTGCCGCGCTCTTTCTGGCAGGGGTCACGTAGCTCATTGTGGCGTAGTTGCGTGAGCTTGTATAGAGGTCTCTTGCAGCAATGCCAGTCTCCATCTAGACGTAGACAGTAGCTACAGTGTAGCTACATGCTGCGCCAGTACTGCTAAGTCCCAGTAGTTGAAAGCTTGTCAACTGGTGAACTCTGTCAGTTCACTAGCCGGGCACCGGTCCTGAGTAGCTCAAGCTCGGCGGCGGTCAGCAGGCCAAAGCTTCTGCAGTGGGAGGTGTGTATTATTAGCCTGTAATCACTGCAATCCTTGCACAGGGGTCTGTTCCGAGGTGAGGTGCTGTCCCCTTACGTCGAAACCCTGTCTCTAGTATCTGTGTGACTGGCATATCTAAAATGTAAATTCTGAACATTATAAAAGTGGAAGGAAACAGTTTGGAAGGTCTTTGGAGGACCTGCTGACATGGCCACTGCGTTTGCGGTGCCGCGGCCGTCGCCGGGCGCTTGATGTCCATCTTGATGGTCCAAAACGTTGGATCTTTGGCGAAGCTGCAAATGCACCCTCCCGTCATGTGGAGTGCTTGACACGGAATGGCATTGCAGAACATTGCAGAAAATCATCATATGCTGCAGGCTGCTCGATTTGAAAGCTCTTCCTGCCCAGGCAAGCTTGGTGAAGCTTGGTGGTGATCTTTGTTGCTTCTCTTGCATGTGCAGGCATCCTGCCGCAAGAGCAGCTGCCAGTGCTCGCACGAGCTACCAACAGAACATGCGAGGCCGGCCGGCTGCAACTGCATCAATTGATATCATCTGATATCATTTGCATCTTTCCGTGTTCCCAGCCTAAAGCTTCTGTGTCAGGCGTATCGGAGTGGCAGCCACAGCGTTGTATGTCTTACAACGCCGGACGAAGGTTGCTAGGCAGGCGCGATCCCGCTGCAGCCTCGGCATGTCTCGACACCACACTCGTAGGCATCTCGCGCTTGCAGTCTGGGCAAGGTGAGGAGGCCATCAGCGCGGCCGTCAACATCGCACGAGATACCACGCGCCGAGGTCGTGGAAGGATGAGCATGCAGGCGCCTCCACTAGCGCAACTCTCACAGCCCGGGCCTGCATCCAGCGACAGGAGCGGAAGAGGCTCCGCGCGATGGAGGTCCAGCGAAAGATCCAGGTGACGAGTGGGGCGTAGTCCTGGGAGAGGGGTCACCAAACGTCACCACTTGCCACGCCAACTAACACCAGTCACGACTGTGAGCCTTCGGTCCTATCCATCGAAGGTCCTAAAGGGCAGGAGGCCTGCTTTTGCCTCAGCTGCGCAACGACAGCTTGTCCATACCTTGTGATGTTGTGCTGGCAGTCATGCAGTCATGTTCGTTTGTGACTCTCACACATGCTTCCTGTGGGTGATAGGGAGTACCGACATCAGGTCTCCAGAAAGACAGGTGCAGAGGCGGCAGAACCCTTGCTTCCATGAGCGATGCTAGCAAAAGGGGCCACTCGAAAAATTGGGCCTGAGCGGGTGCAGCCTTGGGAGCAGAGGAAGGAGGTGGCTGCAGTTCGGGTCCAGGCGTCCAGCGAACCAGACGACGAGGCAGGAGAGGAGGAGGCCAGGCGCTGGTTGACAGCGTTGGGGGGGGGGGGTCCGGGGGATGTGGGGTTTCTGTTGTAAAGGTTTAGGGACCTGATCTCCTGTGATCTCCGGTGCATGTAGCGTGGGCTTGCTCCAAAGTTTGAGCACAATCCAAGCCCCAAGTCCCTTGAGAGCCCCAAAGCGTGCCGCAGGGCTCGGGTGGGAGCTCCAGCTCCAGTGCACCGAGCGAAGTCGGGGAGGGCCAGGACCGACCCGAAATCACTTCGAGTTCCCCCTAAGGCTCCCTGAAAAAGACCCCTTACAGGCCTTGCAGAAGCGCATGCCAAGTGCTGAGTTTGTGTTGGGATTGCAGCCGGGGTAGAGGCGCCAGGACAAGCAACCGGAGCGGAGCTCGCTGAACGTGCTTCTTGAGAAATGAGAGACGCCATACTTGAAAATCAGAAGAGCCTGCGCCCGGCGTAGGCGGTATGTCGTGGGCTTGAATGGATAACACCATGCAAGTCCCCCCCGTTCTGGTCCTTGATGTTTGGTGTCTCCACGTGCTAGTAGTCTCCATCTACTTCGGGTATGGGTGCCGGAGTACGAATGAGGATTCGTGCCGCCGTTCAGTTCATTGCGCATTCTGTACACTACTGTCGGTGTTTCCACCTTTCTGAGGAAAGATTGTCTTGGGACGCTTGGCCACACTTCGGTGTCTGTAGCAGATGGTGAGTTGGCACGATCCGACTCCAGCGGAGGAGGAGTGGGCCTTCAAGCGGGAGTACAAGACATCGCACGCAGCTCATTTTGCCTCCAGACAGAGTAGAAAGAAGAGGGCACTTGAAAGCCACTTGAGAGCCGTCTGGTTGGATGGGCACAAAAGCACCAGAGGTCCGTCGAGCAAAGTGCCGCGCTTGGCTGCAGGGCGCCCCCCCTGCTTAAGCAGATCAGGAAGGTCAGGATATGTCAGGATCCAAGAGCCGAGGTCTCTTCGAGGTTAGTGATGATGCTCGGGCCATCGCGGAGACGGAGCTTTTCGGCACTGAGCTCAGGGGGTTTTGAGAGCCTCCATGCGTGACACAACAGCTCAAGCTTTTGCTTGGAGGTCAAGGCGGCGTTGCGACCTCCCAGCAGCTGCTTGATGCGGGGCGTGAGTTCATGTTCGCGAAAGACTTTGAGAAGGCGCGGGCGCTCTTGATTCAAACTTGGTGGCAAGTTGCAGAGCTACACTGCCTAAACCATCATAACGCTTGTCGCTTGGTCAAGGCGGCAGACTTGCTCGAGCTGGTCAGCGAACGCATAAGCAAGGAGACATGAGCAAGCCTCGGTGCAAAGCCGGTCTTGGCATCCTTCTTTCAGGAGCAGCTGAACCGGAAGCTTGACTACAAGAAGGCTCAAGCCATAGATGACGAGGCTCATGCTGTGAAGGGATCAACTCTGAGATGGATGATGGGGGCATCCTTTGGTTCACCAAAGCGCCAGGGGTGAAATGAGTCACTTGCTCATGTTCGTGGATCTTTTTCTCGTTGTTGCTCGAAGGGTTTGGGGTTTAGGGTTCCCTAAGCCACAACTTGACCCTTCCTTCAATTGCACCTAGGGCTTGGGGTAACAGCTCGCGAACCTTCGGCCCGCCTCAAGACAAGCTCTCAAGGATCTGCGTGCATGAAGAGGGCTTGGATTCCTAGAGCCCGAGCCCATCACAATCGTCAACAAGATATAACAAGATGTGGCCCATGTCAGCTTTAACCTGCGCATGCGCGAGGCGACGGAGATGCTCGCGACGGTCTACTCCGACTCTGGAAGGCTTCTATTCCGGGGGTTTCGAGGTCGGAGAATGGTTCAGGGCTCCCTGAGAGCTAGGGTGACGCGCGTCAAATCACTATTGCGTAGAAATCCGTAGAAACAATCGCAGCTATGATCATGCACTACAACGTACCAATGGTACCCAACCAAAGTGGCGAGGCTATTGGTAGGGCTGGAGACGAAAGTGACGAAATCAGTAAAACAGACGTAAGCTGGGGCAGCGACTCCCTCCAACCCGAGACTGACGCTGGCTTTCAACACCTACGACGTGCTGAGGCCAGCAGCAACGGCACATTTGTAGCAACGTTGATCTTTGCCAAAGAGTTTGTTGAACAACTCATACTTCTATAGCTTTTAACTTATACGCATGTCAACGAGGACGCGTGTTGCAGATCGAGAAGCACGAGAACGAGCAGAGGTGACTCTGCAAACAGAGACGCATGTTTGAAGCCGTTGCAGAATCTGTTTTTTTCAGAAAGGTTGGCTGGATTCAGACCGCCGTCAGAATCGCTGAGAGCCTGCAGAAGGCCCTCGCAAATTCCGCTTTCTCATCGACTGCCCTAGTGATCTCACGTGACCAGGAGCAAAGATTCGATCAATGCCTAGAGCTGCTCCTGACGGTTCGCGTCGCGCCAGCTCGGTTTCAGCTGATGTTGCTGTTGCTTCACATTCGAGGCGAATGAAAGACTCCAGTTTCTTTATTTGCGGCTCAGCCCAAGGGCGCACGGACAATCTAAGCCATGAGGACTTGAGGGATGGCTGTGGGTTAGAACTTGAAACCACGTCCTACTCGAGTGTTTGAAGCTTAATTTGCAGCGAGTCATCTTGCTTCTCTAGATCCGGTCCTCCACTTGACAGTAGCATGCGTTGGTGCCTTAGTTGGCATCGGCGTTGCGGTCATGCGTAGGCACGGGGGAAGTTGCCAGGAGCTGGCCCAGAGTCGGGTTGCTGGCACCAAGCTCAAGGAGGCTGCCAGGGGGTTTTGGGGATGCATCTGTCTGCCTAGAGTCCAAGGCTGACTCTCATCTATCCAAAACACCACATCCTACAGTATTCCTGGAGTGCCCAGTTCCAGACGAGCCCTGTTCCTACAGCAGACGAGCCCTTGGCAAGCGACCCTCATAAGCACATCAAACACGGCAGGAGATCGAAATGACAATCGCCATCTGCCTCCATAAACAGGGCAAGAAGGAAGAGGCTGGAGATGGGCTCGGGTCAACTGAGCTGGCTTTTGAAGAGACTTTGGAGCTTAGGCTGGGGTCCCCTGAGCCCCTCAAGCCCCCGTGACTCTGCCCTACTGGTACTAACAAACACAAGCCGCTAAGAAAAACACGTCGCTCGAACCCCTAAAGCCATCGAAAATTCCCCAACAAGCCCAGTAGGCCTTGGAGATTCTTCGCGAAGTCCGTCGCAACTCCATGAGTCGGGAGCGGAAGGCGAGAGAGGACTTGAGATGCTTTTAGGGTTTTCTTCTCTGTTTCGCTGTGGATTTGGGAGGGTGGTGGTGGAGGAGGCGTGGGGATTGTCGGGGATTTTGGATGGCGTGGGGGCTGAGTTTGAAAGTTGCAGTGGTTTTTGGGCTTAGGTTTCCAGGTCTTAGGCAGCTTGGGGTTTCGAGAGTTTAGCCTTTTATGGCTCAGGGTTATGGAAACAGGGTCAAGCCTGGGATTTATGAGGATGCAGGGGGGCGTCTGGGTTTTTGAATGTCCTTGCTACTTCCTGGTGTACGTGGTTTTATGAAATTCCAGTGGTACAAGGACGCCGAGCAAAGAAGCCAAAACCGCACAGGCGCAGGCGCAGTTCGTCATGGACGCCGGGCGCAGTAGACAAAGAATGGCCTGAAGATTCGTGAAGTGCGAACCAAACATATGGGGCGGCTCGTCAGATTGCATATACCGCATGCAGCTGCAACCCTGAGGTCATTAGTGTCGATGATATCCCCCTGGAGCGCAACGAAGAGTTTCACAAGGAACGGAGGGACGGCGTTCTGTGACTGTTCGGGATCGTTTTCAGTACTAGCTCTCCACCCACGTTCCGCAAAACCTGCTGCATGCGAGCGGAGGTTTGGGACGACAATTTCAAGCTACCGAAGGTCGGGAGCACCGGATGTTTTTGTTTGTTGCGTTCATGGCACTCTCCAGTTTCAGTTCTTGTCGCGACTGCTGCCATGAGTCTTCCTGCCATGAGATTGACTTCGGCCCTCGATCTGAAAGCCTCCAGCGCATCCTCTCAACACTACGCGCTTTGACCCGACCCTCAGGACACTATGCAGTCGCTGCCGACTGCGCGGAAGGGGTCTGCCTTGAATCTCAACCTCTCGGACCAGGAGCAGTTTTCCTGTGCCGCTTTTCTTGTGCATGCGGCTCCAAATTCGGGGGCTTCAGAAGTGAGGGTTCAGGCTACAGGATGAACCCCTTTTTTCTCTTTTTTCTTCCAAACGGCGACCCAGTCGATTGCAGCGGCAGAAGCGGCAGTGTGCCACCCGCCAGAGCAGCAGCACCAGCAGCAGGAATAGCATCAGAAATACCAGCAACATCAACATCCAATCATGTCAACAATCACCATCGTGATCGTCGTGACAGTCGTAATTGCTGCGGAGAGCATTGTGACAACAACCTGTAGCCAAGTTTGCGCACGCCCGACTCGCCGACCTGTTTTGCCAAGCTGTTCACTTCCCTGCCCTCTTTGCGTGCGCAACAGTTGGATGCCCGAGGAACTCTTGTCTTGCACAGGCACAGCAAGTAAGCCCAAGAAACGTGTACCACCGGGCGAAGAAGCTTTTGCGTGAATCTTCAAGATTTCGGAAGCTCGTTCGCTTTGTCGCTTTGTCGAGAAGCAGCTCAGCCGTCCGTACAGACATATGCGGCTTTGAGATGGGAGTTGCCTGGCTTTCTTGGTTCTCGAAAGCTTCACAGGGATGACTCGATAAGTTCCCACTCTGCCAGGCACAGCTTGACATGCTTTGACCACAGCCACGAGGGTCATTGTCACTATACGTCTGGCAGGAGCGGGAGTTCAGAGACTGGGCGGGCAAGTACTGGGAGGCCGGAAGCCATCGGCGCACAGCGCATCAGACTCTCTAGTCGCAAGCAGGTATGAATAGGTAATAATCTGCGGTGTTGGACCTGCCCACCTGCCTTGACGGGTGGCACGGGGTGGGCCTGTTCTGTGGAAGGAGAGGCTCAAGAGTCCAGCCTACTACGCGATGCTGACGCTTTGGGCCTTGGCCTTGGTGCTGGTGCTTTGGGAGTGCAAGAAACGCTGCCCGACAAGGGACACCTGTCAGAATTCAATCCCAGCCAATGAACTCTTGAAGCCTTGAAGCTCTCAACCACCCGAAATATCCTAAGCCGCGAAGGGCACGAGAGCCTTCGTGTTCTCGGGTTTCCTTTCGAGGTAACCTGGCCCTTTGCCATCCCAGTGGTTTCCCTCATGCGCCGGTCCGGCTTGCTCGAGTACTGACCATGAGATGCGAGAGCCTCTTGAAGCCTAACAGGGTTTAGGGTAACTAGGGCTAGTGTTTAGGATCCGCCTTTTCAGGTCTTTTTCATCGGCCGCTCCTAAGTGTTTGTAGGGTTCGCAGTGCTTGAAGGCGGAAAAGTTTGGCGGAGCCAATCATCAGAATCATCGGCAACCCTGGTTGCTTCCAGTCCAAGCCCTCTTCGCATAAGCCAGACAGAAGTATGATACTGTATGATCCACAGCGCCCTGCCCCTACGAGGGGAGGTTTGCACAACATTGCGCAACCAGGGATCGTCTTGAGTCGTTGAACTAATTGTACAGTGGATGGGACGGCACGTTTGCAGGCCTCCTTGCCGGTGGAGTTATTGGCACAAGGATGTTCATTCCGAGGTGTATGTCGATGGCAAATCTCATGCTTAGAGGCGTAGCCATTCCACAGCACAAGATACAAATAGCCGATGTTTGGGTTGTCTAGACTTTCGTGAGGCCAGGGAGGGTAGGTCACCTAAGATGCCACCCAAGCTGACGGACGACACAGCGCTTACTTTCCTGGAGCACAATCCCAAGCGTGCAGGAACCAAGGCCAGGGTGCAACAACTGCAAAAAGAACGGCTGAAGCAGGTCTCGTAGGGTTGTACACAGAGTTGCAAAGGCGGCGGGTCTCGCTCTGGCAGGCCCATGAGCGATATCAGCGCTACAAAGCCGCCAAGACCGTGGCGGAGGCTGGGAATGGAAGGTATTTCTCTATGTGTGTGCAGTCTGTTTTGGTTTGGGCTTGGGGGCTTGGTGGCTTAGCGGGGTCAGTGAAGTGTTATCCCTGCATTGCAGAGAACTGGATGAGGCAATCCGCCTGGGAGCACTGAGAAGTGACATCACAAATGACATCAAGGCGGGCTTCTGCACCTCGCAGCCCAATGACGCCCAGAAGCGGCCTTTGGACTCATTGGGTCCACAGCCGAAAGTGAAGGCAGCACGCCACGAGGAATCCTCCCATCGCCCACCAGAACCACCAGCAGGGCAGCCGGAGCAGATCCTTTCAAAGCCAGCAGAGCCACAGCCGGCACAGCCTGTGCCGTCAGAGCCTCCAACACGTGCTGTGCCAGCAGGGTCCAGCAGTGCATCTGCATCTTCAAGCGATAACCGCCCACTTCAGCAAGTTGACTTGTCTTTTGCCGACATGTCGGGCAAGCCGATACGCTTCGTGAAGCGTACAATGGGCGAAGCCAAGCGACTTCTCAGTCCTGAGGGGCTTGCTGAAGCAGAGAAAAGTGGCTACCGCTTCTGTTTAAAGGACAAGGAAAACCTTGCCCGATGGTCCGTCCAGCTGAGGGACATCAATCCCGATGGGAAGCTCGCAGCAGACCTGAAAAAACACAACTTGGATGCCAGCATAGACCTGGAGCTGATACTCCCAGATGGCTTTCCCATGGAGCCGCCATTTGTGCGGGTGGTGTATCCGCAGCTCAAAGGTGGGTTTGTCTTCGAGCGCGGGGGTATTTGCTTCGAACCACTGACACAAAAGGGCTGGGCACCCTCCATGACACTGCCAAACTTGGCAGTTGCCATCAAGGGAATCCTGGACTACGGGGATGTGCGGATCGGTGGAGTTGGCGACAGGGCCACTAGAACTGTCGCCCACTACACGGAGGAGGGCGCGCGCAAGGACTGAACCAAGCTGCTTTGCCAGTGACGAACTAGGATGCGTCCCCAGTGCAAGGATCACACTGCCATCTCAGCTGCCCATCGTGGGGGGGCCCGGTGCTCAGAATTGCGTTGTTGTGACCAATCTGCCTTAACTCGAGCAACCCATGGTTCGACTCAGGACAGCAACACGTATGGCAAGCACTACACCAGCTGACCTCCAAAAAATCACGAATCAATGTTTTCGCATTTTGAGAACTCAACTTACGAGAAGCTAACAATTCTGAACTAGACAGGACTGGGACGACTCTTTTCGACATCATGCTTAGATCGTTCGCTCTTGATAATATGCACAAGAAAATATGTTCCTCAATAGGCTCGAGGTTTGTGCTCAAAAGCCCCTCTGCGCAAAGAGATGGAGGCTCTTAATGCCGGTATGATATGGAAGATAAGTCCAATAGTGGTCTTCGCATCCCGAAGTTCACGATAACAGGTTTTTTCCAATAGCAAAAGGACCCGTCACCACCCCGATTTACGTGGGGGAAAGGGGACCCGACCCAGATATGAAGCACCAACACGAAGCGTGAACTTCACAATTCAAACTCGTGAGACTCTTCCCGTTTCAGATCGTCAGCGGCGGCAATTAAGGCGCGGCAGCGGCAGCTAAAGATATCAAGCAACTCCATAAGTTCCAGAAGGGAATCACCTGCATCATCGCAATGTAGCCGCGCCATAGTTGGCGCGCGGCAGCGCGCAAGCCGTGTGAAAGCCCCGCTGCAAGTCGATAGAAATCCTAGCCAAGAGCTTCGTTCGCATTGTATCTATTCTCAATCCCATCCCTTCATCAACCAATCCAGAAAATCCCTTTTCGCATCCCTTACGAAGAAGATAATGCACATCGACTTACAGAAGCGTAAGCGTGATGGGGCGTAGCTTTCGTGGCAATGATAGCGTCAGCAACGTACGGACATTAGTACAATCTTTTCTTGGCTTCCTCCTTTCTATCCGATAGACAAACCCTTTCTATATATCTTGAAGGAGCAATAGAATACCGACAATTGTACTCTCGTCCCGGAGGAATGGTGAGGAATTTGGCAAGGGGCGGATCTCACCTCAGGAGTATCGGACATTAATTCCAAAGATACGGTGCAACACCTACGAAATCCTTCCCAAGCCTACAAGACGTTTAGCCTCCTGCGCTTTGTGTTTCATGAGGATTTGCTGGATGTATCGTTATAATAAGAAAATAATCCGAATCTACAAATGACGTCGACAACTATCCGATCGACGATATTACCCGCATCGTGATCCTGTCACAAATCATGAAGGAAAGAAGATATTTTGCGTTGCGCATTGCCACGTAGTATCGGCGCTTGTGTTCTACGTGAGCTTTATTAATCCCGGCTGGCTCCTCGACCATTCGAGTGGGAGCCGAAATGATAAATGAAGATACGATTCAGGATTAAATTTGAGTATCTACGCCAAGAGACTTGTTTCAAAAGGTTCGTTGTTGGCAGGAATTTTGTCGGTGGGTCCGGCGGGCGGCGTTGTGGCAATATTTCCGTTGTTTCGAATTGAGGTCAAAATTGGCCTTTTGAACAAGATGATAGAGATAATCATATTTAATGGCTACCGCCAATGCCGCCGACCCCAGCACGCTCTGCCCGGCTCAGCCCCGACAGGGACCGCAGGGTTAAGGGCGTAGGGCTTGGATTAGGCCTGCAACTCCCTAAGCCCTAAACCCTAAACCCGGAACCCTACACCGCCGTGGCGGCGGAGATGACGGCGGAAGCGCCGGGCCGCCCAGTCAGGGTTTAGGTTTAAGCTTCGAGCACACAGCACACACACAGCCACACATATATACACACATACATAGACAGACATAGACACACACACACACACACACACACACACACACACACACACACACACACACACACACACACACACACACACACACACACACACACACACGCACACACACACACCCACACAGACACACACACACAGACACACACACAGACACACACACACACACACAAAAACACACACCCGCACACACACACACAC